CTGAGGGTGGTGAGCCCCTGGCCCAGGCTGCCCCGAGAGGCAGTGGATGCCCCATCCCTGGAACCATTCCTCTGAGCAACCTGCTCTCGTTGCAGATTCCCTGCTCCCTGCAGGGGGGTTGGATTAGATGGCCTTGAAAGGTCCCTTCCCACCCAAACTGTTGTGTGGTTCCACTCCTCTGTGCAGCTGTCTGTGCTTGGCTGCTGGCGAGGACTGGGTCTGCAGGTGCTCTATTTGGGGCCGGTGTGAGGTGACCTCCCCACGTGTCTGTGCCTCGTTCCAGAGTGCAGTGTCTCAGCAGAGGAGTCCAAGAGCAGCGCCGGCGACTTCGACCCTCTGGGCAGCGCGTCCGCCCCGGGCGGGCTGGACACCCAGCCCCTGCAGTCCTCTGCCTCCCTGGACAGCAGCTCCGTCCTGCCCAGCCCCTCTACCTCCTTCGAGCCGATCAAGCCGGACCCCACAGGGAGTGAGTATGAGCCCTTGGTTCAGGCACTGCCCCAAAACTCTGCTGCGTGGGGCGAGGGAAGTGCTGCTGGGCCTGGGGGAGGGAGCTGAGCTCCCTTCTGCCTTGTGATGGTGGTGGGGAACCTGGCGAGAAGGCGTGTGTGTCAGAGCTGGTGAACTGCTGCTTTCTGTGGCAGCACCACTAGGAGATCTGCGAAGGACACTCTCACAACACGCATCTGCTGTTACATGTAGGACTGTTCCCTCTCGGTCCCTTCCGTGGTTCAAGGTCCCATTTTTGAGTCTTCATGAAGCTCTGGAATTTCCAGCCATCGCTGAGAGCACTTTTTTACCTTGTGAGGAGTTTTCCTTTAGTAGGAGAGCTCTTGTCTCTGTTTTCTCCACTCAGGAATTCTTAATCTATCTGCAGTGATCTTGTGCTCTTGATGATCTCATAGTGTACTTTTGGGGAGCTCCTGGATGTGCTTGATGAGGTGAAATGGGCTTTAAAAAAGGAACATTTGGGACTTATGCTGGAAAATGGCAGGTTGGCCCAAGGAGAGAAAAGATCTTCTGGGTAAGGCATGCTGCTTTAGGGTTTTGGAGGATCCCTTCACTGCAGAAACATTCTAGATGAGAGGGTTGTGGTCAGAAGAGGAAATCTTCCTGAAGCACAGATCACCCAGTGGTGTTTTCACATTCCCGCTGCTAGCGTGTCTGAGAGGAGCGTGAGCTGTTGTGTCTTGGAGTAGTCTTGGCTGTGGGATTAGACCTTTGATGTGCCCACATCACTGAAAAGCTGGGGTTGTTCAGCCTGGAGAAGAGAAGGCTCTGGGGAGACCTTGTGGCTTTTCAGTATTTCAAGGGGGGCCTACAGGAAAGCTGGGGACAGACTTTTGAGCAGGGCCTTTTGGGATAGGACAAGGAGGTTGGTTTGAAACTAAAAGAGGGAGGTTTAGACTAGAGAGAAGGAAGAAATGTTTGACACTGAGGGTGGTGAGCCCCTGGCCCAGGTTGCCCGGAGAGGTGGTGGATGCCCCATCCCTGGAACCATTCCAGGCGCAGAAATTTTTTATGCCGAGGGTGGTGAGCCCCTGGCCCAGGTTACCCAGAGAGGTAGTCGATGCCCCAGCCCCGGAACCATTCCAGGTGAGGTTGGCCGGGGCTCTGAGCAACCTGCTCTAGCTGGGGATGTCCCTGCTCCCTGCAGGGGGGTTGGACTGGATGGCCTTGAAAGGTCCCTTCCCACCCAAACCAGCCTGTGGTTCTGTCCACAGTGGGCCCGTAATGACTCTCCAAAGGTGAATGGAGGTGAGGCTTACGTATGGGCAGTACTCTAGAGCTGCCAGCTGTGGTAATGTACTCATGTCCTGGGGCTCCTACAAATTTGTTTTCATAGAATCCTAGATTCACTAAGGTTAGAAAAGACCTTTGAGGTCATCAAGTCTAACTGTCAACTCAGCACTAAACCATGTCCCCAGTGCCATATCCATACATTTCTTGAACCCCTCCAGGGATGGTGACTCCAGCACCTCCCTGGGCAGCCTGGGCCAAGGCCTCACCACTCTGCCAGGGAAGAAATTCTGCCTCATATCCAATCAGAACCTCCCCTGGATTATAAAGTAGTCGAGCTTAAGGATTTTATTGCTTCTCATTTCAGCAGAAATATGTAGGGAGCACCATAGGTGACTATGCTGGAAAGCATTTCAGACTCTTCATGTTACTGATGCAAAAGTTTTGGTTTGTTGTATTTGCAGTGCTGGAACTCCCCAAAGAGCTGTCAGAGATGTTTGATCCAACAAGAGGTAAGTTTAGTCCCTGACTACAGCTTGGTTCTGTGCCCATCGATCTGCTGAAATGGGACAGTTTGTTGTATTCACTTCTTTTGGGGTTGTGGCATTATGGTCACTGCTGGCTCTGTTTGCAGTTGGGCACTCTTACTGGTTTCTATCTGTATTTATATAAAATATACTCTGTTTATATTTTGATTTCTGATGAGGACTTTCCTATGCCCATGCCAGTGCTGTGCTGTACTTTGCTCTGCTGTGCTGTGCTCTGCCTTCCCGTGCTCCTTCTCCAACTTGGCTGCACCGTGTCAACAAAAATTTCTTGTTAGGCCTGTTTCTGCTGGAGCCTGCCCGAGGCTAAACCAAGCAAATCATCTGAGGAAATAGTCTTCTCTCTTTGAAATAACCCTCTGCGAGTTGTGTCATGCTGGTAGAATCATAGAATTGTTCTGGTTGGAGAAGACCTTCAAGATCCTCAAGTCTAACCGTTAACTCTAGCAGGTCTGCTACGAACCTGTGTCCCTCAGCACCACATCTCCACGGCTTGGAAACCCCTCCAGGGATGTGGGGCCTCCACCACTGCCCTGGGCAGCCTGGCACAGCCCTGGGCAACCCTCAAGGGAATAAGTTGTTCCTCAGGGACAACCTCAACCTCCCCTGGCACAACTTGAGGCCATTTCCTCTTGTCCTGTTGCTTGTTCCTTGAGAGAAGAGCCTGCCCCCCACCTGGCTCCAGCCTCCTGTCAGGGAGCTGTGGAGAGCCAGAAGGTCTCCCCTGAGCCTCCTTTGCTCCAGGCTCAGCACCCCCAGGTCCCTCAGCTGCTCCTCACCACACTTGGGCTCTAGACCCTTCCCCAGCAGCTTCAGTGCCCTTCTCTGGCCACGCTCTGGCCCCTCAAGGTCCTGGGAATGAGGGGCCTGAAACTGACCCCAGGATTTGACGTGCAGCCTCCCCAGTGCCCAGTCCATGGGGGCAAATCATGCCCTAGCCCTGCTGGCCACACTAGTGCTCATCCAAGCCAGGATGCGTGTGGCCTTCTTGGCACACAATGGCTCATCTTCAGCCAGCTGTTGACTAACACCCCCGGGTCCTTTTCCACTGTGCAATTTCCACCCACTGCTCCCAGCCTGGAGTGTTGCTGAGGCTTGTTGTGACTAGGTGCAGGACCCAGCACTTGGCCTCGTTGACCTTCATCCCATTGGCCTCAGCCCATCAATCCAGCCTGGCCAGGTCCCTCTGTAGAGCCTCTGAACCTCAAGCAGGTCAACTCTCCTGCCCAACCTGGTGATGGCTGTAAACTGGCTGAGGGTGCCTTGATCCCCTTGACCAGGTCATTGATGAAGAGATGGAACAGTAGCTCTGGATCACCAGGGTAGGGGCTGCTGGGACTTGTGTCAGGAGTTCTGCCTCTGCCTACGGAATGTCTGGGTGCTGCTGCCTCATGGAGGCACCGACTCTGGACTGAGGGCTGGAGAGGTGAAGGAACTTGCTCTGACAGAAGCCTGAGCTGTGAAACTCTTTATCTGCACATTCATTTCCCTTTGGTACTGGCAGATATTTTCTAGTCCCGCGGAGGCGAGCACTCCCCAGAGCTGTTGTGCTGGTGACAGGATATGTGCAACAATGGTCCCTAGTTTTGTGCTCTAGCAGATGATTTGTGGAAGTGCCACCTTTGTGTAAAACCCACAGGCCTGGATGCATGCATATGATCCGTGTCCTCTGAGCTGGAGCTGACAGCTACAGGGGCAGAACTCAGGACTGGAAGAAAGCAACCCTGCAGAGCTCAGACCAGGTTCTGCATTTGTTTATTTGCTGAAGCTGGTGTTAGTCCTGACTAGTCGCTTGGTGTTAAAATTCTCCTCTCCCAGCACTGAATTAGGGAGTTTCCCATCCTTGAGAAGCAGCCAGCTGCAGGTGAATGCCTTGACAACGGGCTCATCCAGCTTTCTGTTGCAAAAGCTCATTTCAGGTAGTATCTCATCAAAGCCAGTTAGGTTGAGCTTGATATTCACTGTCTTAACTTGATAAAGGGAGAGAGGATTATTCAGAAAGTTGCTTTCCAGTGCTTCGTTTCTTGAAGAAAAGAGGTTGACTTGCACCTGCTTGTCCATCTGCCCTTCAAGTGCCTCGTGAGCCTGCTAGCTGAGAGCTCCAGCACTGGAGGAAGGGCTGGCCTTTCAGAGAGGATGAATTTGTTACAGTTTGAACAGCGTGGAAAGAGCAGAGTTAATGGCCCGTTCAAGAAGGACATGGAAGCTCAGATGTTTGTGCCTTGTTTGGCAGCGTGGGCCAAGGGGATCAAACAGGGGCAGGGACAGAGGACACAAATCTGGAGGAAGCTGGAAGCTCAGTAGTTCTGCTGCTAGTCATGGAACAGCTCATTTGGCTTTTTTACTTTTTCCTCCCACTTTCAGAGAAGGTGGTGGGCAATTGAGGGCTGTGAATATTTCAGGCTTGGCCAACTCAGTTCCAAGGGCATGCTGAACAGCTTCCTTTTGAGGAGTTTGGGGCACAGCCTGTCACAGCACAACTGGCATGTGGTCGAGCAGGTGGAAACCTCCTGCAGAATGTTTTGCTGTAGCTTCAGTTCCCTGACACTGATTTGCCTCTGCCCATGGCAGGAGGCCCAAGCCTCCCTTCACCACTGCCTGCTCCACATGCTGGGCAGAGAAGGGACAACAAGGGTGAGGAGCACTCTGGGAAGGTGGGGGGAACTACACGGAGGCAGAGCAGGAAGGCAGAGTGTTGCTCAATCACGTTTGTCTCTTCCATAGAATGCATGAACTCTGAGCTGCTGGAAGAGCTGATGTCATCTGAAGGTGAGTCTTTTGAGTCTCCCCTTCATGGTGTGGACCTTCTGGGGGTGGCAGACTGTGGTGTGTGACTTAGAATTGTAGAATCATTTTGTTTGGAAAAGACCTTTAAGATCATCAAGTCCAACCGTTAACCCAGCACTGCCAGGTCCCCACTGACCCATGTCCCTCAGCACCACATCTCCAAGGCTTGGAAACCCCTTCAGTGATGTGGGGATTCCACCACTGCCCTGGGCAGCCTGGCACAGACCTGGACAACCCTCCAGGGGAAGAAATTGTTTCTCAAGTCCAACATAAACCTCCCCTGGTACAACTTGAGGCCATTTCCTCTTGTCCTGTCGCTTGTTCCTTGGGAGAAGAGCCCGACCCCCACCTGGCTCCAGCCTCCTGTCAGGGAGCTGTTCAGAGCCCGAAGGTCTCCCCTGAGCCTCCTTGGCTCCAGGCTCAGCACCCCCAGCTCCCTCAGCTGCTCCTCACCACACTTGGGCTCTAGACCCTTCCACAGCTTCGTTGCCCTTCTCTGGCCACACTCCAGCCCCTCAAGGTCCTTCTGGGAGTGAGGGGCTCAAAACTGAACACTCCACCCGGGTGACAGCCTCATAACTACAGACTTGCCCTCATAGTTCCTGGGCTCTGGACACAGATTTAGTTCTCAATGTCCTGTCAGGCCCCGAGAGAGGTTTAAGAACCAGCAGAACGTGTTTCTCCCATGTTGCAATGTTGATGTGTAGCACCCTCAAAGCCCTACTGCAAGGTGTCCCTCGTGGCTCTGGGGCAGCTCTCGGCTCACCGTGGGAGCACTGAGCTTTGTAACCAACCGTGCTTTCCTCTTTCCCCAGTGTTCGCTCCCTTGCTCCGCCTCTCCCCTCCCCCTGGAGACCACGACTACATCTATAACCTGGATGAGAGCGAAGGCGTCTGCGACCTCTTTGACATCCCTGTCCTCAACCTCTGACTCCCGAGGGCGGCTGCGAGCCTCGCAAACACAGACCCGTTTTGTAACTCTCTGGAAAGTGTCTATTTTTGGATCCCTTTTGCGCTAGAGCTCGGCGACAGA